TGTTATGTTGTAACGAAGTTATAATTGAAGTATTATTCTTTTAGTAACTGTAACTTCTTTCCTTTCTTTTCATTTATAATAGTAACTTAGTTACATTTTTTTTTATAATTAAAAACTAATCTGATAGTTATTTTTATAGTTACTTTACATTTAGTTTATTTCAAACTTATTTATTAACATATATGAGTTGTCCAAAATAAAGTGCTCACAATTAGTGAACAATCAATAATTTCTTATGATTGGAATATATATTTATCCTTGATAAAATGATCACATTCTGTAAAGAATTAAGCTAATAATCTTTTAGTACGTAAACGCATCTTAAGATTGATCCCAAAATTTTGAGATTCTATGTAAATATATTAATTTATTATAAATAATATAGCTTATAATGTTCAGCATAATTAGTAAAATGGTTTAATAATGTTATAAATATTTTTGTATTTAAATAAGAATACAAAAAATTAATAGAAAAGTAATTAAAAATTACGATTATTTTTTAAATAACTATATTATAATTGTATAATGTGTTCCTTTTCAGAATCGGTAATGTGCAACAGGATAATAGTTACTTTTCAAGAGAAAAAATTTTAACTAGTTATTTATAATTTTTATAAACTTAACTTTAAACTAGTAACTTTTCCAATCCTGCTTGGCGTAGTCCAAGCAATTCTAAAAATAAAGCATTAAATTACTCGTTTAAATAATCGACACATTTGACGGCATATAATATTGAAATGATTTGATGTAACTTTGTTTGTAAATTTAAGTTTACTATATTATTTTTCATGTTACAGACAATGGCGAGCCTCATTAATTCGACAACAGAATTTTTCAACGATGCGTACGACTATTACCTCTGGACTTTATCCCTCGCAGGTAATTCATAAAAATTCTGTTTAGGTATTATAATTTTCTATGATATCATCTATTTAATTAGTCATCTATTAAATTATCTGCTCTTTAATAAATATTGTTTGCAATATATTATCTAGTTTTTATTGTAAAGAATTTCAATTTATGTAACTTTAACAATATAAATTTATTTTTAATTATCAATTTCTTGATGTTATTTATAAATTATAAAAATTAATTTAATTGTATAGAATTGAGTGTTATAAATAAAATACATTGCGATTTTTACAAAAAATTTTTATTCATTTGTAATGTTGTAATAATACAGTTGTTAACAATTGTAACAATTGTACATTGTTAACAATTACTATTATTACAACGTTGCATATGAATATATAATGTAATGAATATATTATGTCACCATTAACGATTTGTGATTTCTTTTAGGCTTCCTCCATAAATATATATAAGCATCCATAAATATTCATAACCCATAAATATTCATCTTAACAAGTGAGAATGGATTAAAATGGATTGAAATTTTTTTCTATCCGAATGCGTATTTTAAATAGCGAATACTTTTTTGGATTCAATTGGATTGTAAAACTGCCTTAACTTTCTTATTCAAAATTTTGAATTGAACAATATTCACAATGTGTGTGTTGTGCACAGAAAAAGCTAATATTATTTTTAGATTGAAAAACATAAACATATGTTTCGTGCAATTCCTATAAATGAATAAAAATGCATTCAGAATTGAAAAGCATTTCATTTTAACATTCATAAATTATTATTTCTGTAAATCTGAATCCATTTCAATTCATTTCAATCCATTCTCCATGCTGGATATTTTTACGTAATAATTATTATTGTATTCTTATTGCATCATTTAACATTTACGAATGTTAAAATGAATGCTTTTCAATCCTGAATGCATTTTTATTCATTTACAGGAATTGCATGGAGCATATCTCTATGTCTTTCAATCTAAAAATAATATTAGTTTTTTCTGTGCACACACATACAAACACAACAACATATTGTGAATACTGTTTAATTCAAAATTTTGAATAAGAAATGCAGTTTTTCAATCCAATTGCATCCAATTGAATCCAAAAAAATATTCGCTATTTAAAATACGCATTCGGATAGAAAAAAATTTCAATCCATTTTAATCCATTCTCGTTTGCTCCATATTCATGCATGAAAAATTTTTTACTGAGATTATACGGGTGTTTGAAATATTTTATAGATGTCCGCATTTAGATTTTACTTTTACAATGTTTTTTTATTATTAAATATATATATGATATTAAAATTAATATAATAAAATTAATAATTAATTATATAAGTATACATATATGCATATATTTCATCAGTATTATTACCCAAATAAAATTAGTTAATTCCAAAAAATTGATATTTTTTAATATTCTTGAGGCTTCCATGGGTGCTTTCTATATAAAGATTATACGTTTCGCGGGCATTCCAAGAATGGACACGGAGGAAACTCACGAAACGCATAATCTTTATGTGATATTTGTTATGAATTACTCAATACCTATAAACATTTTTAATCAAATTCAAAATTGAAGACACACTCTTTTACTGCAATATTGGGTCAACTTATTTTTGGTAAAAGCGAAGAAAATTAATAAGATACAGTCAGAGGATATATTGGACGGTAACATATTTCAATAAACACCTATTATCAAATAATCAATCACTATTGCAACAAGCTCTTCAAAAGCAAAAGATGTCCAATATCATTACATAACATGTCTATAATAAGTCCAGAATTAGATGTTTTGGATATTCTATGGACAAAGTTATTGCAAATGTACATTCCATCCATAGGACGTCCGATGGACATAATTTGGACTTCCTATGTCCAGTATTGGGATGTATGGACATCCCAATGTCCAGAATCGGAAATCCAACGGACGAACAATAGATCCATGTGCTATTTGGATGTATACATTGGATGATTACTATTGTATCGTACGAATTAAAGGAGTCTCTAAGTTATTTATAATTATTAATTTTATTGTTAGTTTTTATAAAATTATCATGTTCTGATTTTCAGATGAAAGATCGAGGGGTTGGTTATTGGTTGATTCGCCGAAACCAACGTTAATATACACAATGTTGTACCTCTTTATCGTTTGGGTGGGTCCTAAAATCATGAAGAAACGGAAAGCTTTCAAATTAACGTGGGCTTTGGTGCCCTACAACCTTGCCATGGCTTGCCTCAATGCTTATATTGCCATTCAGGTGAATATTATTTCCTGTCCTTAATGATGGGAAAATATCACGGAACTTATTCATTTTTTTTATTTATCTTTATGTAGTCACTTTCACTTGAAAGTAGGTTTATCGCTTATTTGGCATCTCTATATTCTTTGCAGTTGTTCGTAGCATCCACAAGATTACGATACAGTTACGTGTGCCAACCTATAAGGCACATCACGCGTCCCGATGAACTTCAGGTAAGAGAATTATTATAAAATAAAAAATATAGGATATTTAAGATCAGTGATCAAAAGATCCTCTATTTTTCTCTGTTATAGTTTAGCTTACAAAATATTTACTAAAAATAAATGTCAGTTTCCTTATTTTATCATGTTAAGAAAAGGATAATACATATAAAAAAAACTTAGAAGTAAAAAACTTTCCATAATTTAAAAAAGATTACTTTTGTTAGTATATTAATATAACAAAGAATGTTTAAAAAGATCATAAAAGAAAACATGCTTAAAATAAATAACATACTGATAGAAAAAATTTTAAGCCAAATATAAACAGTACAAATATAAGGAACAATCTTTCAGAAATTTCACGTTTTTTGTTTAGATCGCCCACGCAGTTTGGTGGTACTATTTTAGCAAACTTCTGGAATTTTGCGATACGTTCTTCTTTATTTTGCGAAAGAAGGACAATCAGTTGAGCTTTCTTCATGTTTATCATCACTCTACCATGTTCTCGTTATGGTGGATCGGTATTAAATGGGTACCGAGTGGATCCAGTAAGTATTTCTTTATTTCAATATTAATACTATGATATTGATAATAATTATTATTTTGATAATTATATAGAATAAGCCCCTTCTCCCTCTCCCCAATGACCTTGACCTTGACATATGTTGTCAAAGTCACGATTCTGAGTAACCTCCAATAGATTTTTTCCATCGTTTGTTATTCATGAAAATGTTATTAATGATATAAAGTTAAGAAATAATATCTCTTTTTTATTATTTAAAACAAAATTCTGCTTTAAAAGTGAAAATTTTCTTTGAAAACATTATATTTTTATATAATATTTGTTTTTAAAGCAGAGAATTTGTTTCTGAAACAGAAAATTTTTCATGATTTTGTAATGACTTTAAACGAAACGAGATCCACCCCACTTCCTCCACTATCTAGGGGCATACGATTTTCCATTTAAATAAAGTGAGGCCTGCTCCACTGTCTAGAGACGCGCGATTTTTCACATGAAACGAGATTCCCATCTTAGAGACAAAAGATTTTTTAGGCAAAAGGGTGTAATAAACCTTGCTTGAGAAAATTGTGCGTTTCTAGGCAGAGGGGAGGTGAGGTGGATCTCGCTTTGTGTGGGGGGAAAATTGTATGTTTCTAAGTAGCGTAGGATGTTATATATTAAATATGGGAAAAAATTTGTGGCGTTTTTCCCGTTAGATGTAATGGGAAAAACGCCACGAACTTTTTCCCTAATATGTATAGCAGAAATATTAATTATTGGCAATAGTAAGCTTATTTTTGGATAAACATTAATAGCATTGCACCAAGTACGACTAAAGTTTGATAGAAATATGTAAAAATAATTACGCTTTGTCTCCTAAACAATTATTAAAATTTATATAAAAAAAGAAGTAAAGATTTTAATATTTATGTACACTTTGCAGCTTTCCTACCAGCGATGGTGAACAGCTTCATTCATGTGCTGATGTACTCATACTATGGACTCGCCGCGTTAGGTCCTTCGGTGACTAAGTACCTCTGGTGGAAGAAGTACTTGACAATCCTCCAGCTCATCCAGTTCACAACTGCTTTGATTCTGGGAATCAATGGCATTCGATCGGGATGCGACTTCCCTCTTTGGATGCAGTACGCCCTCGTAATTTACATGCTCTCTTTCATCGTCCTGTTCGGAAACTTCTATGCCAAAGCTTATATCGCAAAGGTCAGACACAGTTTCATATGTGATTTGAGACGAGTTATCTCGCGCCCATATATGTTTGCGTTATCAATCTATGACTATGATGTTTATTTGCAGGGTAAACAAGTGTATGCGGAGAAACGGCTTGAGAGGCTAAGAGCCATCGAAAAGGCGTCGACAAGTACACAACTCGATAGTGCGATCAGCAATGGAAAGATCACGAATGGATATATGAACGGACACGCGAACGGCTACACGAATGAAACATTCAAGAAGACCCAATGAGGCGATTCTTCTCAGGGATGTCCCTATCAGGGAGATCCAATCCACGATACTCGCGATGCACGACGAAGAAGAAATAGTCATTATAGACATTAGTCATCGTCGTCGTCGTCGGGCAGTGCATCGAGATCAACAGAAGTAGTTTAACAAAAAAATAAATAAAAACGAGAAAAGGGGTAAGGGGAAAAAAAGAAATGGATTTTTCGTTTAGATCCCGCACGTTATCGGGTTTGTGCTTTCGCGAGGCGAAAATTAGCACCGTGATTCCAAAGTTAACGGATCAGCATTTGTACATTCGCGGCATCATGCTGATTCTAACTGTATATATATTAACGAACATTCACTGAAAAAGCGGTCTAATACCGAATGCGTTTTATAGCGATTAGCGCGATGGGCCTGCAAGAATGAGAGTTCGCACATGAATATACATGTACGAAACTGAAGTGGAAAGATTTACATATATTATATTGAGGAGTCAGATAAATATCAAAATATTGTCAGAAAAGCAAACGATCTTTCTTTCAAGGGAGTTATATAGATAAGTTTGTGAAAATAAATATTTCCCTAAATGTAGAATTATCCAAAAAAATAATCGTAATGGAAGGAGAAAGGTGCGTATGTGTGCATGTAAATAAGTAAATGGACTGTCAGGGAAAAAAGAGGAAATGCGAAAGAAATTTGTTTTTAGGACGAATGAACGATAAATTTGTGATGGAAGATTATTATAAGAGGATTGAAAGAGAGTTACATCTCTTAAAAGAACGAAATTTAATGCATCTCTTCAGTTTGTGAAATTTTTGATAACGAAATGTATGTGAGTGTATGCATATAAAAACTTCTCGATCAAACTTCGCAAGTGCCGTTTCGCGAATGAGCAACAGTATGAATCAATATTTAGAGGTCCCAATTCGGAAAGCCTATCACGCAGCTATATTCCTGATTGATTCGCACAGAAACGGGGAGATACGCGATACGCGGAGGTTTGCCCGCTTTCATCAAAGTATATTGCATATTTAAATCAAAGAGGATCTAATCCTTTGATTCAAATATAATACAATCGACTGATGATTTCTATTCGTTTTCAAATTTAATAAAAAAAAAAGAAGATAATTGATTCCAATAACAAAAAAATATCGATTGGCTAGAGTCTACACGAAACTTTTTATACCGACCCTTTTTTACAACGAATAATCTAGATACCAAATGACGCGCTTTCGTCGCAAGAGAACTACAACAGCAATTTAAGAAATCATAGTAATGAAAAAAATAGCAAAGAACAGAAAAATGTGGCAAAAAGTGATAAAAAAATCATCGCAATTGTTCACATGTTATAAATCATGATGAATCTGTTTTTATACAGCATATGATTTATATTCTCGTCATCAACAAAATTTATAAATAACAATTAGCAACTGAATAAATTACAAGATAATCATTTACGACGATGGATTATGTTCATTTGCGCGGAGATCGTGTGTTTCCTCATAATATATTTCTCTTAGATAATTAGGTTATTCTATTATATTATTAATGTGTTTATATAAATACGTGTATATCATTATTATAATATGTAACGGATCATGCGCAATTGTTATAAAAATCGCGTTGCTGCGCAATGCGTTAAAACAAAGAAATGCATTGTGTTAATTCTTTACAGCTTACGTTTATTTGTCCTTTCGATAAAATTTTTCACAAAGTATTTATTAATTTTTTACTTTTAATTGTTATATATCAAATATTATATATAAAATCATTTTTCCTCATATTCTTTTATTGTATACATTTTAAGTTAATAAAATTACTTTAAAAATATTTTACATAGTTAATAAAATTTTTACATAGTTAATAAAAACAAATATTTTACATAGTTAATAAGATTGTATCAGACATATAAAAAAAATTGCTGTATATTAAATCATAAAAATGTAAAAATGAGGAAGATAAAATATTAAGAAACAATAACTTCGAACGACTAAATGTTTGAATAAAAACTGAAATATGTTTAATCTTTCCTATTGTTTCCTTCTTATTTATCAGTCTAGTAATTATTTACATCACATTTTAACAGCGTAATTTATAAGCAAGACCCATTCACTCTTTAAGAAACAATATTTTTTTAGTTCGAGTTGTGATTAAATAATATTTACAACTATTTATTTTATTGTTAGACGTGTCGTTGAAGACATTTTAAATATCTTCATATGAAATTGTGATTAACCACGACTCCGTAAAATCGCTAGAGCCAACCATATCGAGCACGTCTTACCAATGTACCGTTGTATATGACAAACAAGAGCAAATTCGACAGGACCCGTGATATTGTGAATCTTCGTGGCGGCTATTTGCTCCGCCAGTTCATCAAGGGTAGTTTGACGCAAGTTCAGAAGGAAACCATGCGTGTGATAAGCTCTGTACAATTGTTTCAGGTCTCTTTTGTCCACTTGACACGTCATATCATTCGGAATGTCGGAAACAAAGCTTCGCAAAACGTTGATCGCGTGACGATTAAATATCGTTGTTAAACCAAGAGCGCTACGCCAGCCGGACAATTTGTCTCGCAAGTATTGCTCCATTTCCGAAGCGCTTTCCTTTTCCTGCGCATCTTCCTCGGGTATCTGTATCACTGTCGGTTCCGACGTTTGAGCGGATCGACTGCTGATTGATGTGGCGACAGACACGAGTGGCCGCCAATCTTTGCTCATCGTCACGTTGTATCTTAAATTGTGAGGCAAAATAGACCTCTGCAAATTCTCCCATATCTACAATAGCGAGACTGTTATAAAACCATAAGATAAAACATTAAGAGATCACAAAGTGGGAAAAGAATGTAAATTTGTGATTGGAAAAATTAATTAATTGTTTTATACTAACGCCAGAGTGATTGATCAAGCGAGATACTTTCATCAACGAACAGCGACTATCACTCAATTTATAACGATCCCCGATCTCGGGATCCCACAGGACGATGTCGTTTTTCTCGATGCTTAAAACAAATGCGGTCCATCGGCTTATTTGTGAAGAACCTATATCCACAAATATATGCTTTGAATAAAATCGCGCTTCAGTGCAAATCAAGTGACAAAAATGATAGCGTAGTTACCCAGAAAACAAATTTGGCGACAATTTGATAGCAAATTATTGCCAAATTGGCATAAAAAAAACTCCGCAGTAGAGTTCTGTGTCAACAACAAGTTTAAGTATTGCTATCAAAGCTTGTACGTAGACAAAAATCGAGTAAAACTTTGGTCAATTTTAATTTTGATTTTCATTTGTTGTCGTCAATTTGCTATCAAATTGTCGACAAGTTTTGCACGACAATTTTATGTTACGTTTTTCATGTTACGTCAGTGGATTTTGTTATATATCTGCTACTAATTTACTGATCTTATTGAATATAATAGAATTTACAAATTTGTCTTTTTGTCAACAGAAATTTGTACTTAAGGAGATTCAACAGACAGTTTATTCATAATAATATGTAAAACAATTAAAATAATGGAATAAAAAAATTACTAACAATATCTTATGCTATTACATAATTATTGTTAATGTTATATGTTAAATATTTTCAAAATGACAAAATAAAAGTTGTAGAAAAAGAATGCTCATTTGATGTATGTACATGCATCGACATAATTCTAGCTTTTTTCATTGAAGAATATAAATATCTTGTAAATTGTACGATCAATTTAAATGAAACTTTACGTCAGTTTAAATTTAAGTGTTTACTTTATAATTATAACGATTTTTAAATTGCTGTCTTATATACAAGTGTCTTAATTTGAAAAAGAATAACTACAGAATAAGATTATAATCTTCAAATTGTAATGTAGAATTCTATCTAAATTTCTATCTAAATTTAGAATTAAATATCTTCAAAATAATATAGTAAAAGTCAATGAAATTTTTTCTAGATATTATTGATATTATTAACATATGTATTACATATATTATAGATTTATCTTATATTTCATTAAAGAACCTCCTTAACAAGCATTTAATAAAATTTGTTTTCGATAGACTTGTGTTCCAAAATTCTCTGCTAGGTTAAAAATTTATAGTTCATATTACGTGCACTATAGATTTTTAGCACTGGCAATAAATTTTGAAACACAATTTCCCTATTGAAAAAAATCACAAAGTTATATAACGAAATGTAATTAAAACATATAAATCACGTAACAGATCGTTCCAAATCAGTACGTGATTTTTTTAAAATTATAATTTGAAAAGTCATACAATGATATATTTTTTTCTTCTATTTCCATCATTTAATTATTTAAAATTCGATAATTATAAAATCATATGATAAATAAAAAATTATTTCTAATATCATGTAATTTTTCTAATTATGTGTTAAAAAAATTATTTGTACTAATTTGGAACAATGAGTTATGTGATTTACTTGTTTCAATTACACGATTTCGTTATGTAACTTTGTGATTTTTTTTTCAGTAAGGTTTGGTTAATTGCATAATAACGTACCTAACAATACATACGACTGCAAACCGAAACCTTGCAGCAATGTTGCCAGTAAAGCTGCTCTGCCATAGTGATCCACCTTGTTCACGTTTAAGGCTTGGCGCGGTGGGACCGGGCCATAGTGCATTGGCAAAGACGGTAGAAGCATAGTGAGTCGTGCAGCGTCGTCGGGAGTCTCTACACCGGTTATTTTGTAAGGCATCGCCAGGCAGCGTTGGATTCCCTTTAACAAAGTATCGATGGCGTTAGCTTCCAAAGACTTGGCATTGCTGGGCTGCTCCATCTTCATCAGCACGTAGATCCGCGTGTGCGAGCGACCCGGGCTGGCTTGTACGTAGCCGAACGACAATAGGGGACTAAACAAAGGGGACAAAGCGACCCATCGTTCAAGCTCCTGATAATTTCTGTGACTTTCCAGAGGTATTCTCGCCTCACCAAGCCACTGCTGACCCCAGACAGGGTGCTGATCGTATAGGCGGAATTTTACGCAGTGTTCACCGTTTTGCCTCGGCAATTCAAAGTGCATGGTCTGTTGCCAGATAGGTGCTGGTCCCTCCGCTGTCGCGGTCGTGTGAACGACGTTGCCCCATTCTACCTCCAACAGAGGAGTGACCAGCGCCGATTCTTCCCTCACTGGCACCTCCACCCCTCGCAGGATGGTGACTGCGAGGATCGTTCTCCCTATAGTGTGATGCCTGCGAGTGCTGGATGACGGCCTGAGCGGCCGACTAGCCTGGAACAAATTCTTCAGAGACACGTCTAGCAGGGAGAATGCCGAGTGCTCGGTTACGACAATAGCTGGCGGTTTTGATTCACGCGACGACGCTTTGCGAATTACACCGATGTCCGTGTTGAAAACCAGAGCCGGATCCATTAGCAGAAAATACTTGACATCTTTCTTGCTGGTGGAACGTGTGTGAGGTCGCGATAAGGAAAGATTGTTCTGTGGATCATTCGGATCGTTGCTCGATCTATAAAGATAAGCATTGCTCTCCTCCGGATCGCTGCTGCCGTCTGTCGACAGAGAGATAGTGCAAACGACAGTTCCGTCGTATATTCTACCCGAGCTGCCGCTGATCGCGAAATCTATCTCCACCTTATAGTCTTTAACGCTACGCTGGGGCAACGGTAACGGAAGCTCGCTGGACACCCCGTGTCGGGCGTGCACCTGTATCGAGAGATTGTGGCATTCGGAATTTCTCATGAATAATTTGTACAGCTTTCGATTGAATGGACCATTTGCCGTGAACACCAGCTTTCTTTTGAAAAGCAATGAGATCGAGACGATCTCGGGGATCGTCCCGGCCCGATCTTCCTCGCGCGGCGCGTGAATGCAGATGTCTCGCATCGCGATCTCGACGAGTTTCCCGTGAAACCGCGGCTGTGATTCGTAGTCTAGCGATTTGGCATTGTCGAGCCGATAAGGCTTGACTAACTTGTCAGTGAATGGATTCTCGGAAACGTAAAGTCCATCCTCGACTGATGTGTTTTTACTGTCCGACACTCGCACGGTTCTCTTGCTCTTCGTAAGCACTTCGCTCGCTTTCTGATTGTCATCGATCACGGGATACGCGTAGCAGAGGCTAAAATCTTCCTCAGTTTTGTCTTGCGAGTCTCGTGCGAATCCTGTTATAAAATCAATGTCAGAGGAAGACATATCGCGATTATAAGAAAAAAAAAAGGGTTTTACTTCAAAATATTTTAATTCCCATGTGATTTATTTACGCCTTACGGCATACCAACTTTTATTTATTATTGAATTTTTAACGAACAATGTGAAAATTTCTAAATTATAATGCTTCTAAATTATCTCTAATTTGTGTTAATTAAGTTTTTTCGTCTCACAATGTTACAAACTATTGTAAACATAAAACTCATTATTGCTGCACTGTACTTTAGTAGAACTTTTCGCTTTTGCACAATATCAAGTATATACTTATTTTAAGTACAAAGAATGTATATACTAGTTCAATTATAAAAAAACTTCAATTATATATAATAAACAGACTTATACTGTGCCTGTAATTTGTCAACAGGTCCTAAATAAATGCAAATAAATGTTTGTTTTGGCGTCTTCGGTTTCTATGGCAACAATCCTCGGGACAGCTGACAGCTGATAATGTTCAATCGGACAAATAGCGACATCTCATAAAGTTGCTTCAAATGAATTTGTATAAATATGTATAAATATGCTCCATCGATAAAAACATGTATCAACGATTGATCGAGAGAGCGGCGCCGAATAGCGGCAAAAAAAGGAAAAAGACACGAAAATATAACCTTTCTCGTCCAGCTTGTGACAGTTCACAGTTGTGACAGCAGATGATATTTTAAATGAATTAACGGACTTCATTGGTAATTGATTGTAAAGACGTTAAGTGATCTTGAATTGCGAGAATGGACGAGGAGATGGATGCCGTGAACGAGGAAGTTTCTCCAAGAACCTCGGACGAGGAAGAGATGGTGACGAGCGATACGGAGGAAAAAACCAACAAGGAAGTAGTGGAGATTAAGTCCGACAGCGACGATGATGATGACGAGGATGATGACGAGGATGCTAAGGAGGCTGAGGTGAAAGCTCTAGAAGCTTCCTTGTCGACAAACCCGTACGATTATTCCAGTCATGTAACTCTAATCAACAAATTGCACACGATGGGCGAGCTTGATCGTTTGCGAGCCGCTAGGAACAATATGAGTAACTTATATCCCCTGAGCCCCGAGCTCTGGCTTGCTTGGATAAGTGACGAGATCAAGTTAGCGACTACTGATGACCAGAAAACTGAAGTAATTAAACTATGTGAACGAGCTATCCAGGATTACGTATGTAAGTTTTTCCTTGATTTCCTTAAGTCGTAGATTTGAAATCATTATTTGTATGGACAAGGAGATCATAACACTGTAACTGTGTACTTTTAGCTGTGGAAGTATGGTTGGAATACTTACAGTTCAGCATTGGCTATATAGGCAAGGATGAAGAGAAAGTTCGTCAACTCTTTGAACGTGCATTGGCTGTTGTTGGAATGCATGTCACAAAAGGAGCGATAATATGGGAAGCATATCGTGAATATGAGAATATATTATTTGCCTCTCTATTGCCATTGGTAAGAGATACATGTTGAAGAGATATATTAAAAATAACAGAAAAAAAAAAACAAATTTTCCATTTGACATTATAATGTTTTTCTTATATTTACATCCTTTATTTTACATTTATGTTTTAGGATGATGATACTGAAAAAAGAAAAAACAAAGTTCAATTGGAACGCATTGTAAGTTTATTCAAACGTCAATTATCTAATCCTCTTTTAAATATGGATAAAACATATGAGGAATATCAATCATGGTGCGCAAAATATGATACAGAAGTAGATACAGATGAGAAATCGATTTCGAAATGCTTTAAACAGAGTTTTGCTAAATTAGAGTCATTCCTTCCTTATGAGGAGAAGCTTATCTCTGCACAAAACCAGAATGAATTACTTGACTCTTATAAAGGATATTTGTTATACATGAAACAAAATAACTCAGATCTTGTTAGAATTCTATATGAGAGAGCAATAACTGATCTAAATTGTTTAGAAACATCGATTTGGTTGGATTATATCGCTTATCTAGAAAATGAATCAAGACTTGAGCGCGAACTAGATCCAATTTATCAAAGAGCATCGAGGAACATTCCTTGGTATTCAATAGTTTGGCAAAAATGGATGAGATCGTATGAGAAATGGGACAAACATATATCGGAAATACAAACGCTATTCGAGAATGCCTTGTCTGCTGGGTTTTCAACAGCAGAAGATTATCGTAATTTGTGGATTATGTATCTTGAATGTCTGCGGCGCAGACTCGATCAATATCCTGATGAAGAGAGAGATAAATATCTGGATGTTATTCGTAAAACGTTTAACAGAGCGTGTGAGCATCTGGCAAAATGCTTTGGTTTGGATGGCGATCCCAATTGCGTTATCTTACAATACTGGGCAAGATTTGAAGCGATACAAGCAAATAATATGGAACAAACTAGAAGATTATGGGCTGATATTCTTTCGCAGGAGCATTCTGCAACAGCTTCTTATTGGTTGGAATATATAATTCTAGAAAAGTAATATATTTAAATATAATAATAATTTTTATATTTATAACTTAGTTCTATTCTTTAAGGCATTTTTCTAATTTATTTATAGAAGTTATGGAGATTCAAAGCATTTAAGAAAACTGTATCAAAAAGCCTTAAGTTCCACACAAGATTGGCCAGAAAGTATAGCGAATTCATGGATAGATTTTGAGCGTGATAAAGGAACTTTGGAGCAAATGGAGTTCTGTGAAGCAAAAACGAAGGAAAAGCTCGATAAAGTTATGACAGAAAGGCAAAAAGCGCAAGATCTTTCTCAGAGTGAATTGTCCACACAAGATAAGAAAATGAGTAAGAGAAAGATTGATGATGGCAAGTGGAAAAATTTAGGAAGTTCCCCATCGAAAATCATAAAAACTGATGTCCAACTGAAACCAAAATTGCGAGCAAGTATCTTGAATATTGATAAGAAGACAACAAATGATCAAAAAAAATCAAAGCCAGAAATCGTACCACCACCTGGTTATAAAACGATCGAAGATGAAGATATAGATGATAAAGATAATCAGCATGAAGTAGATGATAATATTACAATTTTTGTCAGTAATTTAGATTACACCACGACCGAAGACGAAGTAAGAGATGTTCTAAAATCCATTGAACCGATAACATTGTTCAGAATGATTAAGGATTACAAGGGACGTAGCAAAGGATACTGCTATATACAATTAAGTAGTACAGTACGTATATTTTAACATTTAATAAATTTGTTTAATAAACTTTAAATGAAAATATAGCTAAGTGTGAATAAGTAAAAAAGATACTCGTTGAAATATACGCATAAATTATAATTATAACATTTAATTTCATATCTTGCCTTAAAATTTTGAAATATTAAAATAAAGACATAATTGTTTAATCTACTGTTTTAGGAAGCCGTGAAAGAAGCTTTGAAATTAGATAGAACACCTATAAAAGGACGTCCTATGTTTATTTCAAAATGTGATTCTAACAAGAATACCAGAAGTTCAGTATTTAAATATCGCTCTACGCTTGAAAAGAACAAACTCTTTGTTAAAGGTACGATATATTTATCAACAAATCATATACGCGCAACAATTACGGAATTATTTCTTTCTGTATTTTTCTGCGCAATCTTTTTATGTTTAGTCATATATTTTTAAATTCTCTGAATAATTTTTTGGTAATATCACTATCCTGCATTCAATATTATGTTTAAGGACTTCCACTTACAATGACAAAAGAAAAATTGGAAGAGATTTTTAAGGTTCATGGAGATTTGAAGGAAGTTCGCCTGGTTACTTACCGTAATGGGCACTCGAAAGGGTTGGCTTATGTTGAGTATCATGACGAAGCGACCGCTGCAAAAGCTCTTTTGAGCACAGACGGTATGAAAATTCAGGACAAAGTAATCAATGTTGCGATAAGTCAACCGCCTGATCGCAAAAAAACCCAAACAGAGGAAAATACAGAACAAATAAAATCACTCGGTGGAACATCGACGAGCCGTACAGCATTTGGCATGCCCAAGACTTTATTGTCTATGGTTCCCCGTAATGTTAAAAAGAGTAGCAGTAATGGTAGTGCAGCTTCAGATGGAAATCACACACAATCGATGAGCAATCAAGATTTTAGGAATATGTTTCTCAATAAAAAATAACTTGTTGTATCGTACAAGCATATTTTTTTCTCAGTCTATTAATGTCGCATTAATTTTAAAACTTATATAGGCTACATATTATGTAATATTACAACTTATATGTTAGTGGTAATACTTACAGTGAACGGATCTGCTGTTAAAATTTATCAAATGTGCGTTGTATATTATATGATATACAAGTGCTGTTAAAAAGTCAAATGTGCAGTTACTACAATTCTGTACGTTACGTTATTATAAGTTAAAAAAAATGTATAAATTGTACTCAATTATGTATGCGTATATATACTAGTGTTCTTTTTAAACTTTTTTTTACGCATGTGTAAATGTTTTTTTTTTTTTCCTAAAAAATCTTGTGTTTTAGATGCCACAATCCATAGAGATAGATAATTATTAATTCAGTATTAATAAACCTAACTTTATTGGTACAAATCAATCTTTCTGTTTCATATTAAAAGATTATGAA